GCGCGACCCCCAGCCAGCCCGGGGCCTGGGGGCCGTGCCGTGGGGCCGGGCGCGGGCCGGCCTGACCGCGCCGGGCGAGTCCCGCCAGTTCATCTGCAACGAGTGCGGCAAGAGCTTCTCGTGGTGGTCGGCGCTCACCATCCACCAGCGCATCCACACCGGCGAGCGGCCCTACCCGTGCCCCGAGTGCGGCCGCCGCTTCAGCCAGAAGCCCAACCTGACGCGGCACCGGCGCAACCACACGGGCGAGCGGCCCTACCTGTGCTCCGCGTGTGGCCGTGGCTTCAGCCAGAAGCAGCACCTGCTTAAGCACCAGCGTGTGCACCGGGGGGCTCTGGCGCCCACCCCCAGCGCCAAGGACCAGGCTCTTTAGTGCGCCCGGACCCAAGCAGACGCGTGGTGGGGGTGGGAGGGGACGTTTGTGGGGGGTGCGCGGCCAGGAATGGTGGTTTTTACAACCCCTGGGGGTGGAACCCTGTGAAAGGGTGATTTCCTCAAGGCTCCGAAGGCTAGAGAACAGAATTCCAGAAGCATCCCAAAGGGGACAGTCCCAGGGTGGGCTGAGGGAGGAGGTAGGATGAAACAGATCTCACTCCAGAGCCTGGATGTGTCTGTCGGTGCCTCAGACGGGGGACCGCAGGCCTCAGGCCCCAGTGAGGGGGTGTCAGGGCTCTGGGAGAGGCTCCCCAGTGTGAAATGGCCCAGGGCTGGACTGATGAGCTGTAGCAGCAGTCTGTCACATGCAGGCTGCCGGATGGCCAGAGGCCAGTCTATTGGGGGAGTTTTAACAGACTCACTGATAGCAAGGATGGAAGCCAGCCGGGGTGGCTGAGGAGGGGCAAGCATGGTCCCAGTGCTAAGGCAGTGCCTGGCACTTAATGGCCATTCAGTGCATATCTTTGGAAGGAGTGAATGGTTCCCTGGTCCTTCTCAACCGTGAGTGCCCCAAAGCCCAAGGTGCTGTCGTGGTGGGCGGGACCTTAGGCCTGGTATGTGTGTGGTGGTCAGACCGGGGTATAAGAGGGGTGGCGGCAGCTGCGGTTTGGTAGCTTGGGGAGGGACCAGCAGCAGGAAAGAACCGCATGTGCTGCCCCTACTTAGCAGCCCAGGGGTGCTCCCGATGGCTGTCATTGACTTGGGTCTTTATCAATGCCAGTGTTGCAGAAGAGAAAAATGAAGGATTGACTGTCTCAAGTGGTCTCGTCCTTTGTAAGCCTCCCTTTTGGAACTCTAAGCCTGTGTGTGCTCTGGGGTATCCATTTGCCCCCAGGACCAGGACGGGGACCTTTGGCCATGAGCCTAGCAATTCCCCATGTCAGGTTCTTGCTGGGGGTGGAGGGCAGTATTCTCTTGCCCTCTCCAAACCAATCTGGTATCTTCCCACACACCCTCCTCAACCTCTACCCCCCAGAGGTCCCTTCCAAAGTAAGGTGCTGGGGCCCTGGCACTGACAGGACCCAGGGCTCCAGTCTGGGCCTGTGGCCTTGGATGGTGTCCTCCCGTAGGAGGGGAGGGAATTGCAGAGAGAGAGCTGTAGGGTTGGCTGGCCGGGAGGTGGGAGGTAAAAGGGGGGACCGTGTCTGCCTGCGTCCCAGGGGCCCGCCAGCTTCTCTGAACTCAGGGAAATGCTGGATTTCACCTGGCTTCCGGTTGGTCCGTCACCACTTTCTCAGATTCTGTTGAATTCCTTTCATCTGGCAGGGGCTCTAATTGTAGCATCACAGAAAGACCTGGGGAGGTGATCCAGTTTGCCCAGGGAACACAGAGCCAGGAATGGTCAGCGCTCAGCTGGGCCGCCCACTCCTGGGCCAGGTCTTGCTTGCATCACAAACCCTGCTGTGTGAACTCTCCCACTGGGCGAGCTGTGCCTGGTGGTTGCCGCCCATGTGAGAGCTGGGCTTGCAGCCCAGCGGGGTTTTTCTAGGCCCTAGGTGCTCTCCTACCTTCCCGGAATGCCCGCCCCCTCATGCAACTCCTCTCCCAGCCTGCCCTGCTCAGGGAGGCCCAGGGCCCTGGATCTCAGCAAAACCTACTTTACACATGGGCCATTTGCTTCTTCCACTTTGCCACTTAGCAAATCCTGAGACCCAGTCAAGCAAGCCCGCTTCCTCCAGGAAGGCATCCCAGAGTACCACTCCTGCGTTGGAAAGCTGCTGTCTGCAAGGATGGACCTGCCAGGCCCTGGAGCCCCATGGAATCAGGCGCCTGAGGGGCAGTGCAGGCAGCCACTGAAGGTCTCAGTCAGGTGGGACTTTTTGTACGATCCAAGGTGTCCTCATCCACACATGGCCTCTGTTTAATGATCAAGCCAGTCCAACAGCTGTGTTGGTAGGACTTGGGGTTAATGAGGCCTAAGCACAGCTTTCTTACCCGTGCAAATTCGTGAGATTTGTTCACTAACCCAAGGTGACTGATCCTCACAGATGGGTGCTTTGGGTCACGGGGGTGGGGGGGCAGGGCCACATCCATTAGAGCGAAGAATTACTGAGATGTACACCCCATTGGCCAGATCAGGGGATGGCATTCACTGATTCACTAACAAGCTTACTGTGTGCCAGGCACTTGGGCGGCCATAACAAAGTACCACAGACTGGGGGCTGGAGCAACAGACGTTTATTTCTCAGTGTGGAGGCAGGGAGTCCAAGATCAAGGTGCTGGCAGATTCGGTTGTTGGGGAGGGTCCACTTCCTGGCCTGCAGGTGACCACCACCTCCCTGTGTCCTCACATGGCAGGGGGAGGGGAGAGCGGGGAGCGGGGAGCGTGCCCTCTGGTATCTCTTCTTGTAAGGACACTAATCTTATCAAGGAAGATCCTAGTCTCACAACCTCATCGAAACCTCATTGCCCTGGAAAGGACCCAGCTCTGAATGCCATCACATTGCGCCGGGGGGGGGGGGCAGGGGGGTTTCAGGGCTTCAATATATGAATTTGGAGGGGGACACAATTCAGCCAATAGCAGCCATGGTCCCTATCCTTAAGGAGTTCACGCACCTTCATGGGAAATCACTAATACACCGTAGCTCAGTCGGCTCTTGAATAAATTGTCCCAGCCCCAGCTCCCTGACAAAAACTTTCTTGTTCACTATGTCATTTAGCCTCACTGTGAAGTCAGTGACCGTGGCAGGGCCGTGATACAGGGAAGAGGGATGCTGTGGTGAGAATGGCCCGCCAGGTCACGTCACAAACCAAGGGCAGATCCCAGGCCTCCTGTTAGCCAAGCCCCTTCCACTGCCACGATCGCCGGCTTCTCCAAGGGTGGCCTGGCATTGTCGACTTCAATTGTCATCCCCCTTCACTGTAAAATAATAAAACTAGGCCAGGGAATGCTTAGGAAGAGGCATGTCATAAAATCAGACAAGAAGGTCAGATCTATCTTAGTGGTTTACAATCCCGCATACTCTAGAGTATGCCGAGATAAAAGGGTTTCACAGGCGAACGGGAAACAGCCGTAAGCAGATCAAGATCTTAAAGGACTTCTGTCCTGTCCACTTCCAGGTAAGTGCAGGTCTGGGGAGGGGACCCACAGCCAAGCTTCTAACGGGCCAGCTGAGCTTGGTGGAGCTGGGGTTCCTGGAACTGCCTGCGTCATCCTTGTGTTCCTTCGTTAGAAGCAGGCTGGGAGCTAAGAAAAATGACCTAGGAACTGGGAAAATGGTGGTTCTTTGGCAAGCAACCTAAGCCTCGAGTCGGCCAGCCAGCTGGCAGCCTCCTCAGGAGGATTGGGTTTCCTGTGTGCCCAGCCCCAGCCCCGGGGAGCTGCTGGAGGGAGATGAGGCTGGGAGGCCAGTGGGCAGGTGCACGGACAGGGAGAGAGCGGGACCAGCAGGGACTTGGCAGACAGCACCTGGGAGGAGTGGGGGGTGGGGGTGCTTCTGAGACCTTTTCCTTTTATTCTTTAAGTAGTTTGGTTAAAAATATATATATATCCTTGACCTTTTGATAAGAGGAGAAGAGTTGGGGCCAGAAATAGGATGTTCTCACATGTCACTGCTCCTACTGGATCACGGCAGAGAAGAAAATGAATGCCATCCCATAGGTTGTCCCTTGGGTTAAAAAGAGAGTGGTGTCTTCTAGGTTACTCAGATCTGGAGGGGGGGGGGCCCTAGACAGGCACTGTCCAGGTAGAAATTTCTGGAATGAGGAAAATGTTCTATAACTGGGCCATCCAATACCGTAGCCACCAGCCACGTGCGGCTACTGAGTACTTAAAATGTGGCGTGTGAGGCTGAGAAACTGAATTTAAAATTTAATTTTAATTAATTAACTAAGCCACGTGTGGCTATTGGACAATATAGCTCTAGGAATGATGCTCCTATTAAGAAGTAGAAATGTTGTCTCTCCCCCTGCCACCACTCAAATCTAGAAAGAGCTTTCTCTTGTCGTTGGGAGCCATGGATGTAGCCAGATAGTTCTGGGGCTAAATTCTGGCTTTACCGTGTAGGCTGTGGAACCCTGTACAGGTCACCTCTGTAAAGCTTGTAGTGTAGTGCCTGGCACAGCAAACACAATAAATAGCAGTTACCATCATTATTTTAACAAGCCCCATGTGTGGCTACATGCACAGCATTTATACAAGTGCAAGTTTACTATGGAAAGAGAAGAACAGGGTTTTCCCCAAACAGAGCTCCATCCCATAAGGAGGAAGTCTCCGCCTGTATTAAATAGGCCAGCTGCATGTTTAAGAACTTGGCTGAATTGACCCTAGGTCACATCTTGGGTTTTAATGTCAAGGAAAGAGAACTTCGGAGCAGATGAGACCTTGCACCCACAGCCCCACGTATCCAACGGGGCGTCTGCAGTGTCTCCCAGTCCTCGATGCCGGGGCTGTGGCTTTGCCTGCCATCTTCCCTCCATGGCTAGCAGCTGTGGCTTACGGGCATGCATTCGTTCATTCACCAGAGATGGGCTGCGGGGCTATTAGATGCTGGGGGCACTTGGGATCCAGAGATGCCGAAAACACAGCCCCTGCCTTTGAAGCTCACAACCTGGTGGGAAAACAAAGGTGTGCCAAATCCCAATTTGAAGTCAACACAAGATGCTTTGGAAGGGGATATGTAGTGATTGCTGTCCAATTCGGGGAAGTGGGAGGAGCGAATCAGGAGGGAAGTGGTGGCCCAGCTGAGCAGGAAAACCCTGGGGATGCAGCCTAAAGCAGGAGGAGTTGGAGCAAGGCCAGGCTGGGATCTGCAGGAGCAGCGGCCTGGGGCTGGCTGGGGCGGGGGGCGGGGGGGCACACGGGGTGACTGTCCATCTAGCACGGCCCCGGCGAGTGGGACGGATGCAGTGCAGGGCCCTGGGCAGGGCTCCGCTGAGCTGTCCACACCTCTGCCCACAAGGGGGCCACGCCTTGTGGAGTGGCGGTGAGCCTGCCATGCCTGCCACGGGCCCCGCCTGTATGAAGAAGCATGTCTCCTTTTGCAGAAGTTCTCCCCATCTCCATTCTGTGGTGTTCACCACAGCACATGAGAACCGTGGGCGGGGGCTGGGGGAATGTGTGTGTGTGTGTGTGTGTGTGTGCATGTGGGGGGGTTGCATGTGTACGAAACCAGAGAGATGAAGTGACTCAGCTGAACTCATTCATTGGCAGAGCAGAGAACGGAGGCCTCCGGGAGCCCCGGGCCCTGGGCATCGCTCACTGAGACGGGGTGGGTTTTAGGGGGTGTCGCCTCCTTTCCACGCCCGTCCCCCAGCTGTGTGCCTTGCCACTTTGGCACAGCTTACTTAGAAAATGCTGCTAAAAATATGGGTGACATCCTCGGGTACATTGTTGGTTTTGCTTTTGAAAAACCTGGTCATTGCCTAAGTGTTCCCGTTTCTCCTATAGCCTGTAGAAGGGAGGGAGGCCCATAGCTCTGGCAGCTGACAACTTTTGCAACAGGAGCTGGACAGGTGGGAGGTATGGCTGTCCTGTGAGCAAAGCTCCAGCCCCTGGCCATCAGTGGTTAGGGGGTCCTTTTGGCAATGTCATGGGAACATCTGTCCTGATGGATTCATTTCTTTTGGCTTCCCAGAATTCCCTCCCTGGTGCCTCTATTTTAAGTGCCAGTCTCCTTGGGATGTCTAGCTCAGGAAGCCCCACTTAGCTCAATGTGCTGCTATGGGAGCAGCATGGATAGGGTGGGCTGGGGGGTGGGTCCTGGAGAGGCTGAGAGGGCCAGAGGTGGACCTGCTGGGATGGACTGGTCCACAGAGAGGGATGTGATAGCAGGCAGGGCTGATCTTCAGGTCTGGTGTTGAGACTAAGAGATTGAGTGTATTTTCAGGTGGGCCACCGCCCAGGAGGGCACACTGAACACCTGCCAGGTGACGGGAGCCGCCTCATGGGGCCAGGAGGCTTGCGGCTCCCAGGGCCCCTCCTCAGGGATGGCGCCACCCCAGCAGCCACATCCACCATCTGTTGTAAGGAGCTCTGCCTGGGCCCACCTGGCAGCTACCAGGGGCCACAGAGAAAAAGGCTACTTGATATTCCTCTAGCACTTTTCACTTAAAAAAAAAAAAAAATCACTTTCCCTTTTGGCCTCAGTTTCTTTATCTATGAAGTGTAAATTCTGAGGCACTTTTTTACCCTGGACAAGATTATTTCCAGTCCTGATCATTGCACCCTGTTTCTGTTTGGGGGTCTAGGTACCAGAATGGTGTCGGGGAGAGTGCGCCCGCTGGTGGGCCTGCCTTCCCATCTGGCTTCAGCCACTTAGGGCTGCGGGTCTCCGGGGAAGCTGCTCCGTTTCAATTTTATTTTATTTTCCCATCTATAAAATAGGATAATGATACCCGAACAACCTAGATGGCACACGGTTATTGGAAGGCTCCCACGAGATAATATATGGGAAAAAGCTTTGTAAAAAGACGAGTAATGTATAGGTAAGGGGTATTATTATTGAAGGACAGTTGAAAGCTGGAATTCAGCCCAGCCCTGTCCACGGGGCTGCGATAGGTGTTAAAGGTGGCTCTTTTATGGGATATCTTTTATGGGATATCTCTGGCTTGACCGGAATGGGTCCAGTTCGGAGGAGGCGGGGACAGTTGGGGTGTCACTTCCCCCATGTCCCCTGCCGTCCTGGGGGCATAAACCGGGCCAGAGGATGGGGGTGGTGGGGGACGGAGGCTTTGGCAACAGGGTTAGCTCGGGCAGCTCTGATTCTGCCCCTTCGATGGCTGGCTCGCACCCATGACACCCCGCTCGGAGAGGCTCCGCAGCAGGGGCCCCTGCCTTCCCCCGCTGCTCTCTCTCGCAGGGAAAGTCTTATGCCGCCGGCGCCCCCACACCCCGCTTCCGGGGCTCTGGGGGCAGTCCGTGGGCCTGGTCAGGGTAGCGCGGCTTTAGGATGAGGGAGGTGAGGAAGCGGCTCTAACTGCCGGCTGGGGGCCTTGGACGATCCTGAAAGGGGAATGGCTGAAGCCGGGGGCCGGGCAACTTGGGGTGTCCCGCCCGGCGGGGCGTTCTGCTCGCGAACCGGCTCCCGCCCGGTTCCCTCGCCTGCCCGGGCGGGCGCAGCGCTCGCAGCCCTCCGTTTTCCGCCGGCCAGGTCGTCGGCGAGTTAGACCTCCCAGCCTCACGGGGCTGCTGTGCGGCTGCGGCGACGCTGGTGACTGCGGCGCTGCGGCGGAGACAGAGGGGCTCGGGAGGCGGCGCCACGTGAGTCCCGGGCCGCCGGGGCTGGGGCCGCGGCGGGAGATTACCGTATTTATCGAGGCCGGTTCCGGACCCTTGGGGGCGGGTCACTGCGGGCGCGCTACCGTATTTGCCGGGAGCCGCGCAGACCCTTTCCTGGAGCAGGGAGCGCCGCGGCTTAATTACGTATTTATCCAGGGTTGCGCGGTCCTCCCGGGGGTGCTGCGGCAGCTGGGGGTGGGTTGCATCCGCGCCCCGAGGGAGCCGGGGCTTGCAGCCGGGCGGGGTGGGTTGCGGCAGCAGGGTAGGAGGCCTACGTATTTTCGTGGGGGCGAGGTTGCGGCGCAGAGTTTACCATATTTCTCCAGGGTCGCTCCGGCAGCGGGAGTTTGCACGGTTGTGTGCGGAGGTTGGGTGGGTGGGGTCAGATGTTTTGATTCATGAAGCTATTTCATAAAAACAGCGGTGCGGGAGGCTGGCCGTCTTTATGGGGGCGAGGGAGAAGAGGCGCGGGAGGCGCTGCGGGAGAGCTACCGTATTTGCGCTGGGCAGCGCAGACTCTAGAGGAAAGAGCCACTGCTGGAGACCGGAGGAACAGGGGCGCAGCCTGGGCTGTGAGTGCGGGAGGGAATGGAGGAACTTGGGGGAGAAGAGGGGGCCGTTGCTTTAGACCTTCTCCGTAGTCGGGGCCTCAGTCAGGGATATAGCTGGGGAGAGCGGGGAGGCCGCCCAGAGACAAGGCCAGGCTGAGACTGGCCAAGGGACGTGATGGTCTGTCTTTGCAAATGTCAGTGCAGCTGGCTGGGGAAAGCCTCGTAGGTGGGGTCTATTGCAAGTAGTACATGCCCCTTCTCCAGGGTGGCTGTGTGTCCCACCCTGGCCTGAGGGGAGGGGGGGAGACAAAAGGGGTATCTCGGAGATCCCACTCTGCAGATAGGTCGACGGAGGTTGTAGTAAGCACTGCATGGAGGTCTAGGTCCCTGATGGGGATGGAGGACTGCAGGGGAGTGCCCCCTCAGCCTACTCTGGAGCAGGCCCCAGTGCTCTGCCCCAGCAGGAGCCCTAGGTTTTTTGGGGGGCAAGGAGGTGGGGGCAGCAGACAGTGCCCTCCAGGAGCAGTGGTGCTTTGGGTGTCTCTAACTCTGGTGGTCAGGATACTGGTGGTGGTCTTGTGTGTGTGTGTGTGCGCGCGTGTGTGTGTATTTTGAGGGGAGTTTAGTTGATGAGCAGCTGGTACACTGAGAAGAGCTTTTGCCAGTGAGTCAGGAAACTTAGGGCCTAGTCCTGGCTCACCTTGTGTGACCTTGGGCAAGTAAGCTGACCTCAGTTACCCCATCTATAAAGCAGGGCTCAGTAAGGCCTGCTCCTTCCCCGGGGTTGCTGTGAGGACAATGGGAAACAATTTAAGAGGAACGCAGTGCCCTGGAGAAGAGGATCCTCAGCAGAACCAGCATGAATGGGATGGAGCTGAACTTGGGGGTGTTTGTGGAGCGTTGGGCCAGGCTTTGGTATCTTGGGGATGCCCAGAGGAACCAAGCTGAGACCAGCTCCTGGGAGCTCACACTCCCTTTCAGGGATTTGCAAACCTTTTACAGGCATGCCTCATTCCGATAAACAAAGAGCTGCTGCTTTAATGTTTAATTGAGATTACTTTCAAGTGTACAGGGTTTTTGTTTTTTCTTTTAAGCTTTTCAAAAATATCTGTGAACCACCAGGTGACCCCACCCTTCCCTCCAGATTGGCGATGCACCCCCCTCCTTGAGATTCTAGTTGGAGAGATAAGACCTATCCAGGGGCAGGCTAACTTAAATACTAGAAGCCCCTGAATGTTACCTGCCGTCATTTGTTCAATGCTTGGTGTGGCAGGCACAGTGCTTGGTGTTGGGAAGAGAAGAAGGAGATAGCTCTGTCCTTAAGGCAGGCACAGGGCCAGGAGACTGAGGTGGCATGACCCTGCCGTGTGATGACTAAGGGTCATAGGGTTGGGCCGTGGGGCTCAGGAGGGGCTGGAGGGTTCAGGGAAGGCTTTTGGGAGGAGGCAGCCCTTGAGAAAGGCCTCAGGGAGCGGCAGGCTGTGATTAAGGGGTAGAGGAGAAAGAAGGGCATTCCAGCAGGGAAACACTGGCTTGAGCAAGACTGTAGAGGGGCAGATGCTGAAGCTGTGGGGAGCCCGGGCAATGTCCTCCCTGAGGTTGGGGGCTGGCTGATCCTTGGATGCCCCCCTCCCCCACTTCTGACTCCTCTCTCTGCTTCTGCCTCCCCAGGGGCTGGTGACTGCGGCTGGAAGTGCCCATGACAGAGCTGGCGTCCCCGGGGGGCGGGTCCCCGGCGGGGGACGGGGAGGAGGGTCTGGGGGACGAGCGAGGCCTGGTCATCCACCACCCCGCGGAGGAGCAGCCTCACCGCTGCCCACTGTGCGGCCAGACCTTCTCGCAGCAGCCCAGCCTGGTGCGGCACCAGAAGGCGCACGCTGGGGTGGGCCGCGCGGCCGCCTTCGTGTGCCCCGAGTGCGGCAAGGCCTTCAGCGTCAAGCACAACCTCGAGGTGCACCAGCGCACCCACACCGGCGAGCGGCCCTTCGCCTGCCCGGAGTGCGGGCGCTGCTTCAGCCTCAAGCAGAACCTGCTCACGCACCAGCGCATCCACAGTGGCGAGAAGCCGCACCAGTGCGCGCAGTGCGGCCGCTGCTTCCGCGAGCCGCGCTTCCTGCTCAACCACCAGCGCACCCACGCGCGCATGCCCGCGCCCCACCCGCGCCGCCCCGGCGTGTTCGGGGAGCGGCGGCCCTACTTCTGCGCTCGCTGCGGCAAGAGCTTCGCGCGCGAGGGCTCGCTCAAGGCCCACCAGCGCAGCCACGGCCACGGGCCCGAGGGCCAGGCGGCCCATTTAGGCCGCGTGCTATGATGCGCCCCAGGCCTGCTGCCGCCCCTCCCCCGCCCCGGGGCCGCGTCCATGACTCCCGGAGATGGCGCTGGGCTGCGGCCCCCGTTCTGGATGCGATCCCTGGAGACGGGGAGGGCTGGCTTGGGGTCTTGAAGGAGCGGGCCACTGCCTGGCTTGGGACGCCTCCTTCCGTGTCTCCACCCTCTGGCTGGCAGCGCACAGCTGCTCTGGGCCCCTGCATTGGTTTTGCTCCTCAGGCTCACCCGGCCTAGAGTAGGTGAGACCCAAGGGCCAGCCCGGAGCCCCTCTCAGGCCGCCTGGGCAGGAGTTGGGGGAGGGGGGGGACAGGCCGGGGAGGAGGGGTGCACTGAGCTCTGAGTCTGTGACTAGCTTCTTACTAGATCTTCATTCCCAGAACGTCAGAGTTGAAAGCCACCTGGAGAGGGCCACTCTCCACAATGCCCAGGCCGCCCTCAGCCCCCAGGCTGTCCTGGCTCTAACGCTTCTGGTGTATTTGAGAAGCCATTTCACTTCCTGACTCAGTCTCTTCATCTGTGAATTGCATTTAACAATGGACTTCTCCCTGGGATATTGTGAGGATTGTAGTTAAACATTACCCGATAAGAGAGGGTGACCTCACTGGTCCAGAAACATCTATTGAGCACCCCGGTGTGTCATGCACAGTGCTGTGCTCTTGGGAGGAGGTACAGACACAAAACCTTGGGAGGGGGGACACTTGGTACCTACACAGGGGATACAGGCTATCCTAAGGGACAGACTAGAAAGTGCGCTGGGAGGTGGGGGGAGGGGATTGGTGTCCCCAAGGCAGTCTGATGGCTTGCACCGGGTTCTGGGGATGAATAGAAGTGCTCCAGGGAGAGTGAAGGTGGAAGGTCTCTGAGGTGGGAGTCAGGTAGGGGAGGCTCATATTTGTCCTATGAAAGACTGTGGCCGGCAGAGGGGGTACCAAGATGTTCAATGAGGAGAGCACGGTGATCTCAGACATGCAGCTCAAGGAGAAATGGAAGCACTGTGAGGATGGGTCAGAGTGGGATGAGCAGGAAACTCAAGGGTTGTGGGGTCATCTGGGCAAGAGAAAATGAGACCCCTAGCTAAGGGGCTTGACCAAGGGGAGAGCCAGGACTGGCCCCCAGGCCCCTGATTCCAAGTTGGTGCTCCAAGGCACAGGCTTCTTCAGCCATTTAGCAGACGAAGAAACTGAGGCTCACCCAAGCCTGCTCCAGATCTCACTTAGTACTTAGTGGTAAAACAGCACAAGCCTGGCCCCCAAGACCCTTCATCTCTACCACACCGCCTGTGAGGGAGGCTCTTACTGGTGGGAACATGGAGTGTCAAGGATGTGGGAATGTGACTGGAGACCAGGTGGTAGGATCCTGGGCAGGGGTGCCCCTGGGTGGTGTGGGGGCCCGGGGGGAGGGGGGCATGACATCCACAGTAGTGGATTGGGAGGAAGGGAGTTGGGGGCTTGGAAGGGACCTGCACTCACAGAGCCCTTGCTCTGTGCCCAGCCTGTGCCACCACCTAGCTAGGTGCTGGAGACCTGTCCCCACCCTCTGCCCTTCCTTAGAGCTTTGGGGCTCCTTGGGGGTCAGTGGCCCTCTGCTTGCCACTAGGTGGCTGCAGCAATGTGGCCGCTACTCTGTGGACGAGTACTCAGTGGCAGAGATGATGAGATTAATTGGGACCTGGGACATCTGGAGCTCGAATGCCCTGAGTTCAAGTTGTCTCAGTGGTAAATGGGATCGATAATCCTGGAGTACTTGGTAGGGGGCTAAGAGGACTGGCTCAGAGCTCCGGACAAGGGCAGGGTGGCCCAGATGACTGCTCCCGCCTAGCCGCTGGGGGGGGGGGGTGTGACGGGGGGCTGGGCAGGGCCGTGTCAGAGCCCCAGACCTGACCCTGGTCTCTTTGTCTCCATGAACAGATGTGGAGTGTGCAGGCCCTCTGGGCGGTGTGTCAGGCACATCTGGGCACAGAGCCTAGGAATGGGGCCCTGTGGGGGCCTGCCCACTGGCATGAGGATACATCCCCTAAGAAGACCTACCTCGGGAGGTGCCCTGCAGAGGGGACCTGTGCAGCCTGGAATTGGAGGTGGGTTCTGTGCCCCTGGTGGAAGAACTCCCCAGACCCGGTGGGAGTGACAGCTGGAGAAGAGCTCGTCCTGGCTGCCCGGCCACAGTCCACCCTCCTGTGGCCGCAGGGACAGTGCCTGTGTGGAGAGCCGGCTTCTCTGCACCTGCATGGCCCACCGGAGACAGGGAGTAACTGGCCCTAAGAGAACACAGCGAGTCGGTGGCAGACCTGGTTCTAGAGGCAAAGCCTTGCCCCAGGGGTGACCCGTACCTGCAGCAGGCTTCACTCTCAGAGCGATGGTTCTTAGCGTGTGAGGGGCATGAAGCCCTTTGAAAATCTCACAGACGTTATGAACCTTCTCGCCAGGAAAACACGCACACTCATGTAGACATGAGAATCTACAAGCCAGTTCAGAGGCCCTGGACCTAACCCGTCACTCCTTCCTCACCTGGCATAGAGCCTGGGCCACCGTACAAGCAGCATTTCTCCCTCCTCCAGCTGAACTTCCTTCCCTCATTCAGGAATAAAGGATTCTGAGGAGGGGACCCTTCCAGTCACTCTCTTCCCCTGGGCCTGACAGTGCATCAGGCTTCTGGAACCTTTCCTCCCTTCCGCGGACATTGCTGGAGGCTCCCTGGGCTGGGTTTGCTCTTCTCTGGTTCGGGGCTGCCTTGCTCTGGCTACCTGGCTGCTGGTTTTCGCCACGCAGCCTGGACTCCGATTTCACCGTGGAGGTGGAGGGCAAAGCTGGACCTTCTGTGGATGTGGGGTGAGCATGAGCCTGGGCCCAGTCTACCTGGGGGAGGGAATCCTGCTTCCAGCAGCCAAGTGCAGCAGGGCTGTCTCCTGCCAGACCAGGATTCAGCTGCAGCCGGGCATGGTGTGGGGAAGGCTGGGGAGGAAGACCGAGCCTCTCTCCTGGGGCCTGCCAGTGTAACGTGCGTGGACAGTGGGAGCAGGTTGGCCTGGGGCTCACTGGCCTCCTCAGAATGAACCGCTCAACCTGAAAAGGTGTGACCGAGTAGGGCTGGGATGGGTTTTTGATGACAACCCAGGCGTCATGTTGCAGGTTATATTTAGTGAAACCCTTGGGGGTGGGGAGAGGCCTATAGACATGGGATTTAGATCATAGCCCAGCAATGTGAGTCGTGGGGGGCGCAGTGGAGTTTGTGTAGGTGGGAGGTCCCAGGGCCAAGCTGGGGTTTGGTTGGGGTTGTCGGGAGGCCTCCCTGGCTCCCAGCCCGGGACCTCGCTGGTCCTGTCTCCCATGCGGTTTGGTGCAGAGGTTCTTATGGGCCATCTGCCATCTGCCTCGTCCTGGAATACCAAACCACTCTGGAGGAGATCAGAGGAAGAGGAACAATCTGCACCCTAGAAGCTTTCACGTGCCCTGATCCTTGGCCCGCCTGGAGGGAGCCTCACAGATGCACCCCTTCTCCGTGGTTGTCCTCTCCTCTCCTCCCTTCCCTGCAACTGTGCGGCCCACATCCGCTGTTGCCTTCTCTGTCTTCCCTGGAATTGCTCCAAAATGTGGCCCTCCCCTGCCCTGCTGAGCTCTCTTCTCTGCCAGGCCCCCCATCCTTGTCCCTTGAACGGTCCCTGTGTGAGCACGCCCCCTCATCCTCGGGTAGCACGTGCGGCTTTGTACTCGGGCTTTCTGTGCGCGTGTGCCTGTGTGCGCTGAGTCTCCAGCTAGACCGCGAGCTCCCTGAGGGCAAGGGGCGTGCCATGTCTTCTTGAACCCGAACAGGGTCCAGCACGGGGCTGGGCTCACGACACTCAGGAAATACTTGTCCAATAGCTGATGGGTCAAGTGCTGGGGGCTGTGGGGTGACTGGTGGTGAGGAGGAGAAGGCCCGTGAGTTCACATGTGGGTGCGTTTGCCTGGGCCATGAGCTGGCTCGCCTGGGGCGGTAATGGCTGTAGGAGCCCTCAGGCAGTGGGACAAGAGGGACCCCCCCCCCCCACATGGCTACGCAGGAGTGCGTGGGAATGGTGTCCAGGCTGGATATTTCCGTTGGTCACTAAGACCTGCCGGGGCTGACCAGGTGGAATAAATATTCTCTCGACATCAGCTGGAGTGAGCTGTGGTCATTCGGGGCTCAGCCGGGAGCAGGGCGGTGGCTTCTAGTTCTGCCTCCATCCTATCTCGAGGAGTTATGTCCCGTGGTTGCCAAAGCCTTTGGAAAACAGAGCTCAGAAGGCACAGCCTCGCAACGATGCATAGCTTAGCCACCCCCACCCCCCCAGTCTAGGTAATGACTACCGTTTGGATTTGGGTAATGGATACTGGGGCCCCTTCAAGTGGCTTCAGCTGCTTGCCCAGCCGAGAGTGAGGCCAGATCTGCCGAGAAGCTGCGTGGTGATCGCCATCACCCGTTGAGAGGTGAGCTGCTTGGGGGTGCTCCAGCTGAAGACCGTCCGTGCTCCAGTGCCACCCCCCCTCCCCCGGGGGCTTGGCCAGCCGTGTGTCCCTCCCGAGCTTCGTCACCCTATCCGTAACTGTTGTGCTCCTCCTACCTCAGAGTTGTGAGAGTCGAGTCAGAATGTGCATAAATTCTGCACATTCTGGGGAGAATGTGGAGGCAGGGGTTTGCTGTCATTGTCCTCAGGCTGAAGGTGGGCCTGGCAGCAGACCCCTCGGTTTCAGAGCCCAGGTGTCTTCTGGAGCAGAAGGTCCTGGAGGGCAGAGTTATGTCAGGTCAGGTCTGCCACCGGGTAGCCTAGACCGGGGTGAGTGATTTCCCTCCTGTGGTTGGTGAGGCACTGGCCCTGATCATGGCCAAGGCTCACCCCAGAACCTTGCTTCTGTGTCCTATTTTTTTTTTTTTTTAAGATTTATTTATTTGAGGGCGAGACAGAGTGTGAGGGGAGGGGCAGCAGGAGAGAGAGAATCTCAAGCAGACTCCCTGCTGAGTGTGGAGCCG